CTGACTGACTGACTCATTGACTCATCAACGCCCAGCCCAAACCCCTGAACCGAATTTTTACCAAAAGTATATGAAATAGGGGTAGAATTTTCCGAGGAGTGCCACTATGTGTATAGCTCTTTGTTACCGATTTTCTGGAAACCGGTTTTTCTAATTCTTTTAATTTTTCGGGAAATAATTGATTGAATCTCAAAGAATTATAGATTAAACAAAGGTAGAATTTTCCGGGAAGTGCTATAAAGTGTATAATTTTTTGTTACCGATTTTTTTGAAAGCCGGTACCAAAATTTTTTTAATTTTTCGGGAATTAATTGACTGAATCTTAAAGAATTGTATATGAAGTATGCGTAGAATTTTACGGAGAACGCCATGATGTGTACAGTTTTTGTTACCGATCTTTTTGGAAACCGTTTTTTTAATTTTTCCAATTTTTCAAGAAAGAATTGATTGAATCTCAAAGAATTATACATGAAGTAGAGGTAGAATTTTCCGGGGAGTGCTATAAAGTGTACGATTTTTTGTTACCGATCTTTTTGGAAACCGGTTCTGAATGACCGAATCTCAAAAAATTGTACATAAACTAGGGGTTGAATTTCCCGGGGAGTGCTATAAAGTATATAATTTTTCGTTACCGATCTTTTTGGAAACCGGTATCAGAAGTTTGACAAATTTTTCGGGAAATAATTGATTAAATTTTAAAAAATTGTATTTAAAACGGGTAGAATTTTCCGGGGAGTGCTATAAATTGTATAGTTTTTCGTTGCCGATCTTTATGGGAACCGGTATTTTTTTGGAAATCGGTTACGAAATTTGTCCAGAGGGAGAAAGAGAGGGAGAGAAAGTGAGAGGAAAAGGGAAATTTTTTTAGAGAAGGAGAGAGAGGGAGAGGGAGAGAGAGAGAGAGAGAGAGAGAGAGACTATTTGCGTGTCTTATTACATATGTTCTCCGGGGCGAAGCCCGGGTAACCAGCTAGTATATATATATATATATATATCCTTTGTTGTGCACACCTCTTCAAAATTACGTATTGTGCACAGGGGGTCTATTAGACCCCAGTCACTTAATTGTTTATTACAGACGTACAATTCGTTATTTTAACTCAAACAAAATTGCTGGCTATTGTTCAAAGCTTCCAAATTAGGTCTAATAGGTTTCATTAATATCTTACAACATAAAAGAATTATAAATGATATTGTTGCACCCGTGCTAGAACACCCGTTGCGCGCGGAACTTCGCTCACAAGAAGTCTGAACTTCGCTCGAATAGCTTCAAGTCGAAGCGCGGTCCTTAAGGTGATCCTAAAGCCGTGATCCTAGCCGGTTTTTTTCGGTTTTTTTCTTAGCACTAATCTTTTAATTGGCTTTATAGAAATGCAAAATTCTTGTCTAGAATTAAAGTACGCATCAAAATCTAGGTCATGGTGGTCGAATTTATATGTGGTGGTCGTCACGTATAACAAAAAATATTAATTTTTTTTCGTTTTCGATATAAATTCGACCACCATGACCTAGATTTTGATGCGTACTTTAATTCTAGACAAGAATTTTGCATTTCTATAAAGCCAATTAAAAGATTAGTGCTAAGAAAAAAACCGGCTAGAATCACGGCTTTAGGATCACCTTAACGACGGGACGTTATTGATGTATTAATTTTCACGGCGACTGTCAGATCTACGGGGAGACTCCGATCGTTCGGACGTGTTCTCCACCTAAAACGCTTGTACAGAATTCTTAATAAACCTGAGTTCCTTTTGTAATAAAGTTTTCACCCTTTTTTACTACGCGAGTCCGGGAGTGCGCGGAGCGAACGCGAGTGACTGTGAGATAGCGGAGCGTAGCGCAACATTTTGGAGGCTCGTCCGGGATCGGACGAGCGAGACGAACGAGCGAACGAGGAACTCGATGACGAGTACCGAGCCATCGACAGCGCCCGCGACGAGAAAGAGAGCGCGGATGGGAACCCCGAGGCCGAGAGCTCCACGGCTCGAGACAGAGACGGAGATACGACCCGGCTCGAGCGCCCCTCAGTTCTCGGCAGAAGTGGTGACGCTGCAGGCGATGATGCAGGAGATCCGCCAGATGCGTGAGGAGTACGCGGCTTTGCTGCGACAGCGGGGAGCGAGAACTCCCGCAGCTAAGTTTCTTTTCATTTAACGCGACCGGAAATACGGAAGCGCGGATCGCCGCCGCCGCGGTCGCGGAAGTGTTGCGTGGAAATTCCGGTGACGCGAGAGCGCGAGCCGCCGCGGAAGAAACGCCCGGAAATTGTGCGCGTACGGAATTGGGCTTCAAGCTGAAGCCCGACACGTTCGACGGCTCGACGCCGCTGCGAGAATTCCTCTCCCAATTTCTTCTCATCGCGCGCGCAAATAATTGGGACGACGCGTCAAAATCTGTTGCGCTGGTCGCGAGTCTTAGGGGAAAAGCGCGAACGGTATTAGAGTCTGTCGAAAATTTAGAGAACTTATGTTTCGAAGAATTAAAATCGAAATTGGAGTCGCGCTTCGACGAGGGGGGTTTGTCGCAAAACTTTTATACGCAATTTACGAGTCGAAAGCAGAGAAATGGAGAGGATTTGGCTTCTCTTGGCTCGAATTTAGAAAGACTTTCGCGATTAGCTTACCCCGAGTGTTCTTTTTCGGTTCAAGATAAGATCGCGTGCGCGCAATTTGTTTCTGCGTTATCTGATGGTTTTTTGAGAAGGACTCTCCAGTTGAAGGGAGTAACCTCCTTAAAAACAGCCGTCGAAAGGGCGAAAACGATAAAAATTATTCAGGGGAATAGTTTCGAAAAAAAGAGGGAATATTTCGGAAAGAATTTTGAGAATGTGGAGGGAAAAGTGGGAGAAAAGAAAGAAGGGGAGGATGGAAAGGACAGCGCGCCTCGAGGGAGTTGCAGGACCAATCAGTGGGAGGGTTTGTCCTGCGGAGAAACGGGGCATTTCCGTTCTGAGTGCCCCAATTATGAAAAAAATTAAACTTTTTATTTTCTATAAAAGTTTGGTTGTTTTATCGATGTTACTGCGTGTTGTATTTTGTTTTTTTTCTTCTTTAGAGGAAGTCTACGGTTTGTGAGAAAGCTTGGATCTCGACCTGAGCCACCGCGGCGGAACATCGGCCAAGATTTCTTTGGAGGAAAATTATTAAGAAGACTGTCTCGCCCACGGTTCTTTTGAGTTGTGGTTTTTCCGTGGGACGCGCGGACGTAGGGCAAATGCCGAGACAAGGACTTGGGGAGTCTTTAAGACGTTGGGTCCACAACAGTTCCCCCCCCCCCCCTTTGTCCGAAGATTTCGAGGAAAAGCGGCAACGTCGGGGAATGTTCCCGCAGAAGAGGATGGTTCGCCTTGGTGTCGGAGGGGAGGAGTCTGGCCAGCTCTTTCCCAGGAAGCCGAAGGAAACGAAGCCTACCTCGAGGTGTTTTACGGCGAGGGACCAAGAGAGGGCAGTTCATTAACCCGTGGCAGCAGCCCGGGGTAGAACAAAAAGCCAGCCTGGTGCCCGGGAAGTTGTATTATCGGGGCACTGCCCTTCTGTGGATTGTCGGGACGACAATCTAGGAAGAAGGGGGGCAGTGTTGCACCCGTGCTAGGACACCCGTTGCGCGCGGAACTTTGCTCACAAGAAGCCTGAACTTCGCTCGAATAGCTTCAAGTCGAAGCGCGGTCCTTAACGACGGGACGTTATTGATGTATTGATTTTCACGACGACTGTCAGATCTACGGGGAGACTCCGATCGTTCGGACGTGTTCTCCACCTAAAACGCTTGTACAGAATTCTTAATAAACCTGAGTTCCTTTTGTAATAAAGTGTTCACCCTCTTTTACTACGCGAGTCCGGGAGTGCGCGGAGCGAACGCGAGTGACTGTGAGATAGCGGAGCGCAGCGCAACAATATGTTAACTAAAGAAACCGAAAAATGGACTTTTTTCACTAAAAAATGCATAAAAAATTCAATTTTTAATATTTGTACGTATTGTACGTATTAGAAAAACGCGTTTGAAAAAACACTGGGGTCTATTCGACCCCGTGTGAACAACAAAGGTTAAATATATATATATATATATAATTATTAATATTTTATTAATATAGTTAGCTTAACTAAATAATTCATAATTTATATTAATTATAGGTTTAGGTAAAAAATAAAATCTGTAATTTCAATTAATCTTTTAATTACGTAAGAAAGACATTTATTTAGTGTAGTAGTTTACTACATTACTGTTTTACATTACGGTTATGAGGTTGCTGCCTTTTGCTATTTCATTAATTGACTTTTCCGTTTAGTTGCTTCATTGTTAAGTTTGCTTTTTATAGCAGTTTTAATTTTATTAAGTTGTGCTTTGTCATCCTCGTTTACTTTAAATTCATGCTTCACATATTCTGAAAGAGAGAGTTTTTGCACGTTAATTATATATTGAGTATACTTAAAGGTAAAATTGAAAAAATTCATTATTTTAATTAAGAATAAGTTACCGATGAGAGCATCCCTAACAGCAGGATCCAACTGTTTCTTCTCTATTGGTGCCAAATCACATTTATTCTTATGAAAATTGCTTGTTTCGCCTGTCATGCTACATGTCCCCATTTCTTCCTTAGTGAAAACAATTCCCATGAGAGTAGTTACAAAGTATGAAACTTCCTTAGATTTTTCAATCCTTACGACTTTTCTTTTATCAATTATTCGTCCACCAATATTTAATTCATCCTAAAAACATAAACGGTGAAAAATATCAATAAAAATTTATACTTGAATTTTCAAGCAAATCAGATTTTAGTCATAATTTATAGTTCATAATTTATTTCGAAAATTATGTAAGAGATTTAACTGTATATTATATGTACTATATAATGTAATTAGGTTTTTTACTTCTTTCGTAAGTACTGCTTCTTCAACTTTCGTAGTTATTGGGTCGTTATTTTCACGATATTGATGATGATCCTCTTGTCTGTCAGGTTGTCCATCCGTTGCATCAGGTTGTGTGTGTTGCAGTCTAATTAATAAAAATAATTAAAATGTATTTAGTTTATTTACTATTATTTATTTAAATATTTCTAATTGTTATCCTATAGCTATTTGTAAAAAGAAAGATTAATCTTTAGTTATACAAACTTGATCATTCTCTTCGGGTTGAACATTATTGTGATCATCACTTGTATAATCATTTGTTACTGTATAAGTTGATGGTGAATAATAAAGTATAAGGAATAAAATTTTGTAAGGGCGGTGTGCAGAGTAATTAAATTATTTTTACTTTTTTCTACAATTAAGTTAATCACACCTTGCGCAATCATTGAAATATATAAGTAAGCAGAAATCGGATTATCTTATCTATTAATACGCTTACAATTAACCATACAAATGTTTTCAGAACTTATTAGTAAAAAGCAGTAAACAACATGCAGCTGTTTTTGTAACATTCGTAGTTGGTACTGATAATGCATCCTTCTTACTGCTTTTTCTCATCTCGCTCTTACTGCTATTTGTATTGTCATTGCTGCAATGATGATAATCATGGTATTTGTCTGGCATACCTAATGGTGGTAAAGACTTCTTTTGTAGACGATCAAGATTTTTTAGTATATTTGAAGAGAGCTGATTAATTTTCCCTAAATCTGTAAACGAAAATTATATCAGTGATATTATTATGAGCGTAGCAAGTGTTCGCTTTTCAAAAGAAACGCACTTACCTTCATTTACACATCGAAATGTTCTTAATCGGGCATTATCAAGTCGCAGCTTTTTATTCTCCTCCTCCAAAATAAGTACTTTGTAGTTTAACTGTTGTTTTGACAACTTGTGAAACTGGTACTTATTATCGCTGTCTTCATCACTATCAATAATTTCAGCCTGTAATGTAATAACAGAACTGTTGTCATAAAATGTGATAAATATTCTAATTAATGATTAAAATTTTATATTAAAAAATTTATTGATCTACTGACCACATTTTCTTTTTCCTGAATAACGTTCTCAATTTGTGATAGGACTGTGGTATTCATATTTTGTTTATTATCTCTTTTAGTGCTTCTGCTGCTGGCCATCTTACTCTTTTGGGGAGCTGATGCTCCTGAAGTTGACTGACTAATTTTATTGTTTAATTTTATTTTACTATATTTAAACTAAAAAAGAAAAATTAAATAAGAAAACGCTGCATCTAATAAATGTACACATTTTATCGATTTTATTTTATAAATTGAGATCAAATGTAAATGTAGAAATATTTTTTATATATAACCTTTTCATTCTTGTCGCTATTTTGCTCATCCTCATCTGAATTAGTGTCAGAGTTATTGCTATCGCTTGTATTATTTTCATTAACGTTTTTCTTTACAAAAGTATGTCTCTGCTTGCGATCTACATTTGCCACACCAAATTTCTCGATATTCTTTGCTTGATGACACATTTCTGTCCATTCTATAAAATTTTAAACAAAGTAATAAGAGTATCGTATGAGCTGTATATTATAAAGTGATGAGAATGTGAATAAAACGGGAATAAAAGAGTGAGTGAGATAATGTGAATAGCGAGTAAGATTTTATTTAGGCTTGTCCGAGAATTGAGAAAAAATCACCTTGTGATGTTATAATCATGCTTTTTTATATTTTGATTTTTACAAAGATAATTGACAAATCTTTAGTTAATTAAAACCTAACCTCTTAACTTTAAAAGTTTGGTTGTTATTCTATTGTGTAAAATAAGTAGAAAAAAGTATACCTACCTCCAAAAGAAATTATCTTTACTGGTAAATCCTGCCACTTGTCTTGGTCCTCCTTCCGATTCTTTAATTTCCTTTCCATAGATTTTGCACACACAATGTCTATTTCAAGTGGCCAATGAATAATTACTTCCTTATTAATAATATCTTCCTTATTATTATTTTTATCCTTAAGCCAGGCTTGAAAGCCGACTTGAATCGGCTTTTTTCGTTCGTTTCGAAATTGAACAAGCAAACATTGTGAGTCGTTCAATTTCAGATGGTAAAACTGAAGGAGAGCTCCCTCCTCACCGATTTCGGTGAAATTAGGCTTAATCGATTCGTTTTTGCACAAAACGAATGAATCTGGCAGAAAAAAGCCCCGCTCGGCCCCGCGACGCGAGATATTAACTGTTAAAGTTGACGACTATCAGGTTATGAGACCTGTCATACCGACGCGATGTAGCGACTGGTAGCGACCACGAACATGCCCTGCGGCCACATGCGCATGCTCCGTAGCCGCACGCGCATGCAAAAGAAGGTCACGTGACAACTGTCTGTTTGGTAAGTACATATTTATGTGTACTTTTCACATACCAACTATTCTCTGCTTTAACAAATTATTTATGTTTTGTTAACTTAAACGCTTAATAACTGTAACAGAAATAATTTGTTAAAGCAGAGAATAGTTGGTATATGAAAAGTACATGTAAATATGAACTTTTCATATACCAACTATTCTCTGCTTTAACAATTTTATTTCTGTTTCGTTAACTTCAACCTGTAACATAAATAATTTGTTAAAGCAGAGAATAGTTGATATATGAAAAGTAAATATTTATGTGTACTTTTCATATACCAACTATTCTCTGCTTTAACAAATTATTTATGTTTCGTTAACTTAAACGCTTAATATTTGTAACAGAAATAATTTGTTAAAGCAGAGAATAGTTGGTATATGAAAAGTATGTACATGTAAATATGAACTTTTCATATACCAACTATTCTCTGCTTTAACAATTTTATTTCTGATTCGTTAAGGGGATCCTATAGTGGCGGTAGTTACCGACATTTTTTCATTTTAAGGAATTTTTGAATTGGCTTTACAGAATTGCAAGTTTTTGGTCTAGAATTAAAGTACGCACAAAAATCTACATCGCGTTGTACGATTTCATATCGGAAACAAAAAAAAATTAAAAATTTTACTAATTTGGGCACATACAACTGTCATCTGACGACAATAACAAAATTACTGCAATTTATATATATATAATGACACCAAGGCGACGTAGGGACAACATGTAGGAACAATATCGTGTAAATAAAACTAAGATTCAACGTCTAGAAAAAAAGATTCCGTAAAATGAAGTTTTATTAAGCAAAAGCACATTTAGGTTGACAGGATAAGCAGTATTGCGTGTAGCGAGAGATGGCGCAGCAATCGAACAAAGACAGATGCCTCTGGTTAGACAAGGACAGACATAGATATATAACATAGAAAACAGGATTAGAAATGTTGACATTACCGACGTCGAGGAAGTTCGGCCTTCGCTATAGGATCCCCTTAACTTCAACACTTAATATCAATCAACAACATCTTGAACCGCTAGCCACGGATTGCTATTTAATTGCTCTATTGAATAGGACATTGTAAATATTTTTGAATTGCACACAACAATATATGATGTAATTGAGGTTAGGCGCTTAAGTACATCGACTACACATGTGACCACGGAGCATGCGCATGTGGTCGCGGAGCGCGGAGTATGTCCGTAGTTGCTGCATCGCGTCGGTATGACAGGTCTCATAACCTGATAGTCGTCAACTTTAACAGTTAATATCTCGCGTCGCGGGGCCGAGCGGGGCTTTTTTCTGCCAGATTCATTCGTTTTGTGCAAAAACGAATCGATTAAGCCTAATTTCATCGAAATCGGTGAGGAGGGAGCTCTCCTTCAGTTTTACCTTTCAGATTTTTGTAAGACTGGATCTCTTCGCAGGACATTGTATAATCGCCACTATAAACTTATAAAGAAATAGACTCCCGCGCACTAGTGCTACGATTTCGAGCCCGGGCACACTCGTTTTCCCCCTTCACATACGCACACAGAGACGCTCTATCTATTCATGTGACGACTGCGCCACACGAATAGACAGAGCGGCTTTGTATACTAAGTGGAGGGGGGAAACCGCGCTCGAAAAATCGCGCGGGCATGGCGCGATTGGGGCGCATACCCTCGTAAAGTGCAATAAGTGCATGCAGTACATGTACTTGATTGTGTGCGGTTGCTTGGCAACGGAAGGAATGAGACCAAGCTTTTGTAGAAAAATAAACACTTAACCTATAGTTTGCGTTCCAATACATCATTCTGCGCTATTTACATATTGATATTTACATCTTGACAGCGTGTGTATAGAAATATTATTTTTCTGGAGGCATTGTGTTTTTCTATAAAATGCCACGAGGTCCTTATAGACAATACCTGCAAGATATAAATATTCCTATACCTGCAACAACTCTTCGGCGACGACTGCAGAATGTACAAAATGCTGATGCACTGCAAAATGACGTAAGTTAGGCTCTATAGTACTTATATTTAAATATTATCTTAGTATATATATATTTGACCATCAAACATATTGAATGTTTTAAAAATAAAAGAAATAAGCTCTTAGATATGCAAAGTATTTGTAACTAATAATATGGGTTATTGCTCCAAACAGGCAGAACGGTATGATGGACTGGCAATAAGTGAGAGCGATGATGAATATTCACCAATGGAATTAGTAGATGATTCAGCTGTTGTTGGTATACAAGACAATCAGGATTTCCCCTCAACTTCGTCAGCAGATAATAACCTAAGTGATTCGTTACCTAGTTTAAGCAGTGATGCCGAGACGCAGCATTTTTCTGATGCTGCATCAAACAATAGTAATGAAAATTCCATCCATACAGATAGCTCTGACAGTGACTGTGAATATCAAGATAGTATTTGTGAAAAGAATATTTACGTAGACGAACAAAATGAACCAAATCTTGAAAGACTTACGTTATATGAGGGATGTCAGTTAACATTAGAGGAAAGCAAGCTACTAATTATGAGTTTTGCATTGCGTTTTGATTTATCAGATAAAGCTTTTGAACACCTAATCCAATTAATTGACTGCCACTTGCCAACTAACCGTCACGGTTCCCTGTTTTTGTTTCTCAAAGATTTACCTGAACCACCAATTGTTAACACTCAATTTTATTGTCATGTTAACAAATGTAAAAGACTGATTAAATTTGCTCAGAATAATGTTATGGAATGTGAGTGTGGTGCAGTATGTACAAAAGCCAATTTAAAACAGGCAGGATGTTACTTTTTGTACATACCTTTTGTGACGTTGCACCGTGTGCACGTCACAGTCTTCCCCATTCCCATCTTTGTATTGCGCGCGTACTGCCGAGTTAATAGTTTTCAGGAAGAAGCGGCCGGAGGGCCCGGTTAGACAGCGTGGCGCCATCCGCCGGTGCGGTGAAGCGCCCTGATCTAGAGGGCCGCGAGTCGAAGCCGCGGGAATGATCGAGACTATCGAGAGACTGTTGAGGAGACCGCGAGCGTGAACGGACGTGAGAGGAGAGTTGTACCGAGACCATAAGCGAGGGCGGCGGCCCTACGAGATAGATTAACGGAAGGAAGGAAGGACGAGATGTAACCAGCCACCCATCCCAGACATCAGGTATCAGGGAACAGCGGGCGGAGTGTCAGTATCGTGTCGCGTAAGATTTTGAGAGAGACGCGTAGGCTTGCTTGAGAGTTTCCTTGCCTACGCGCCATTGCCGTGAATCCCGTGAGAGGAGTATCGCTTTTCGTTTCGTTTCGTTTCGTTTATCCGAGTAGGACATATCCCGCCCGCTGACTCCCCGTAAGAATATCGAAGGGCGTCCGTTTCTTTCCGACTCGACCGACCTGGGATCGGAGAGTAAGAACGGTGCGGCGCCGGCCGCCCGTCACGAGGGTGATGCGTGTCGCGTATAAAACCTCGCCGGTCGACTCAACAGTCCGTCGCGTTAGATTACCGTTTCGAGTATTCGGAGAGTACCGTTTATGATTATCGTGCCTATCGTTTAGTGTGTAAGATACCGGCGTTCTCGGTAGAGTTAGTTTTCGCGTAGTGAAAACTTCGTCGTGCGGGCGTTCCACGCGTCCGGCCGTTCAGGGGCGTGTCGGCCTCCGGGATACGTAAAGTACCGCGCCCGGTACGGGAAGTGTGAGGCGTCGGCGTACCGGACTTAGAGTCAGCCTTCTCGAGGAAGGTGCCCGAAATTGACCGCGATATGCGAGGAATTAGTTAACGTTCAGAAATTGAGAATACCGCACGCCCCGGGCTGAATTAGGCGTGAGTATCACGTGCTCGCGGTGTGGACCGTACGGCGAGGCTTCGCGTTACGTTCGAGGGGTGTTATAAGAAAACTCCTATGTTGTGTGTATCGTTAGTTGGTGAGAGACCTTGAGTTGTATTTGCGTGTATCGGTTAGTTTACAAGGAACTTTATTGGGCGTACATCGTTTAGGTTGCGAGAAACCTTGAGTTATTGTGCGCGTATCGTTTATCTTGCGAGAAATTAGTTTGCGTGTCTCGTTTATGGTGCGAGAAATTATTTTGCGTGTATCGTTCATTTTGCGAGAACTTATTTTGCGTGTATTGTTCATTTTGCGAGAAAGTATTTTGCGTGTGTCGTCCATTTTTCGAGAAAGTGTTCTGCGGGTATCGTTTATGTTACAAGAAACTATTTTGGGTGCCTCATTTACTGGGCGAGAAATTGTTGTGCGTGTAGCGTTTCTTCCGCGAGAAGTTACTGTGCGTGAATCGTTGATCGTTCTACGAGAAGCCCTTATTTTGGAGATATTGCTCCTTCGGCCCGAATTTTCGCGTGTAGCGGTTCCCGAGAACTTTCCGTTCGCGTACGTTGAAGTAGAGTCATTCTCCGTAATTGGTCGCGTCGAGATAGAGTAGAGTCATTGTAATTACTATTCGGTGTGACGTGGTGGATGTGGTCCTAATGATGGATCTCAGGAATGGGGCATAGTTGGCCCTACGCTAGAACTGACGGAACACATAACGTCACACTTATTTTTTTATTCCATCAGAGAGTCTCGCGTCTGAGGTGATATCTTTATTACGACGTTCGACGTAGTTCATCGCGTGTACTACTTCGTGATTGCGGGTATTATTTCGTCGTCTTTACTACGGCCGTGCCGTTCACCGCGTGGATTATCCCTGACGAGGACTACTCCGTTGGAGTATATCATTGCGCTTCGCGTATATTATTTCTGCGTCCGAGTTATCTACAACGCGCGGACCCTTCGAAAGACCTTGCGTGGTCGGGGAACGGCGAATGATCGCGGTGAATAATTCGCTCGCGCCCTGTAAGTTGTAACGATATTATCCAGCTTGCTCATATATTATATTTGATTTACATGTTACTTGAGTGCTTTCTTTTGTGTTTGTTTCGCCTCGCCAAGGTCAAACCCCTCTACCTTCAGCCTATGTAAGGACCCCGACCCTCTAACGAAATTCCTGAGCAGTCGTTGCGATCGGTCAGAGCGGATGTGTTATGACGTGTGAATTAAGAGTTGTGTCGATATTTAGAGTTTATGTCGGATCTTTGTAGAGTTTATGTCGAGTACTTTTCGCGGGTTAGAGTAAACGGTGGTGTGGCCGTATCCACACCTGGCGCCCAACATTGTTTAGTATCGTTTTCGAGATCCGCTCTGTCACCCGATCATATATTTGCTACGCGCTTTGGTCCCGCCTCCCGCCTCGGGGAAAATCACCTAGAGAAATTAGCGTCGCACTTTAAAAGAACAGTTAATTAAACTTTTAAATAATAACTTTATAAGAAAGCAATTAAGATGGACTGATGAGAACCATAAAGATGTCATTAATGGTGCTGTTTATAAAAAGTTACTTGAAAATGGTACAATATCAAGGGGGGATATTACTTTACAATGGAACACTGATGGTGTTCAACTCCATAAGTCATCGCAAATTGAATTATGGTCAATTCAAGTTTGTATTAATGAGTTGCCATTTAGAATTCAAAAAGACAATGTTTTGTTATGTGGTTTATGGTATGGTCCTGGGAAACCAAATATGAACACTTTTCTTCAGCCTTTTGTCGAAGAGCTTAATATTTTACATACTGAAGGCATTGAGGTTTTTACTGCCAATCCTGTTACAATAAGAGTACATACATTATTGTCGTCTGTTGATTCTATGGCGAGGCCTTTGTTACAAAATATAAAAACTTTCAGAAGTAATCAAGGATGTGCATTTTGCCTCCATTCAGGTGAAGAGTATTTGGTTGGACGTGGCAGAACAAGATTGTATCGAGGTGATATAGGGATAAAGAGAAATCTTCAACAACATAGAAATGACACTTTACAAGTTATGAGAAATGGTCGTGTTCTTAATGGAATCAAAGGTCCATCAGTCTTATTGCTATTAAAGGAATTTAACATAACAAAATATTTTGTACCAGAATATATGCACAGTGTATTATTAGGAGTAGTAAAAACTATGGTATCATGGTGGATGGATGGCAAAAATAAAGATAGATCTTTTTACATTGGTAATGATACAAAAATTAAAGAAATTGATACATTATTGCTTTCTATAAAACCACCTAGTGAAATAACGAGAACTCCGCGATCTTTATTTGACAGGAAAGCTTCTGAATGGAAAAATTTTCTTCTTTATTATTCTTTTATTTGCCTTCAAAGTGTTAATATGCCTAAAAAATACTTAGATCATTGGTTTTTATTAGTATATAGAATTAACATATTTCTTCAAGAACAATTTTCTGAGATCGAGTTTATAAAAGCTACAAAAGCTCTTAGAAAATTTGTTCTTTTGATTGAAAATATATATGGAACACCTGAACTTATGAAATATAGGTAATTCTTCAGTTTAGCTACAGCAGCACAAAAAACGATGAATTTAGGCTCATTCGACGCGTTTTTGCACGAAACGACCGAATCTGGCAGAAAAAAGTGTCGCTCTGCCCCGACGCAAGATATTAATCGTTAAAGTTGACAGGAATCAGGTTATGATTCCTGTCATACCGACGACATGTAGCAACACTGAACGTGCCCTGCGGCCACATGCGCATGCTCAGTGGTCGCACGCGCATGTAAAACTGCGCCAATTTTAAATGAATCAATCGTGCAGAATAACCAAGCATCTCGATTCAAGCAGTTAGGTCTCACGCTGGGAGTTTCATTAGTTTAATTATGCGTGGGAACCCTGCCAAAAATGTTCGATTAAAACCGATTAAAAAGAAAGTAATCCGAATCGATCGGGATTTCTGCACCAAAAATACGGTATTAAAACCGATTGAAAATAGTCAAATCGAATTTAGTACGCTTCAGGCGGATTTGATATACATCCATTTAAATCCGAAACTATACGATTTCATAAGCTATAATTAAATCGGTTTTAATGCGATGTAAATCTGTCGGAGGATGACAAAAGTAATCCGTTGCAATCCGAAATTCTATTTTTCGAACATTTAAATCGGTTTTAATGCGCTGTGAATCTGTCGGAGGATAACAATAAAAGTAATCCGTTGCTATTCGAAATTTCACGATTTTGCGGATTACATCGCGATAGACAATTAAATCTGTTTTAATGCAATTGAATTAACTAGAATTTACCATAGTCAATCTATAGGCAAAAATAATGTCTTTTAATAAAAAATGTTATCATTTCGCAGATAAAAAGTAAATCGATTTTATGTAGTGTGAGTAGGATTTGCTGTTATCATGAGTCACAATAAAGCTATTTAAAATCAAATCTTTATTTTTTTCTCAACTGCATAATATTTACAAAAGAAATACAATTTAAGCGTTAACCTTCAAGTGGTTATTGTTTATTTAGGTATTAACTCCTAATATGAGTGTATTCTTTGCAGTTTTTAATCAATTTTCAAACTTTTAAGCAATACAAACAATTAAAATTGAAAATAAAATCTTCAAAATAAACAAATAAGTACATTAACTTCGCCAGCAATTTTAACCAAATTGAGAATAAGATGGAATTTTAATCGACGTAACTGGCAATCTCAAGATATACGCGTTTAAGATTTGAAATTTATTATGAACTAATAAATTTTTCAAATTGATTAAAATTCCATTTTATTCTCAATTTTTTCAAAATAAACATAAAATTTTTGCTATCAAAACATTAATATATTTAAAAGAACAAACTTTTCTGACTATTATGATGAATACAATTCGGGTGAGTAATCGTAAAAACGAGAATCTTGGTTATCCTCAACAACATTTACGTCTTTAGAGAGTAATATATATAAATTAAAACAATGTATGAATGGTCCAAACGGAATTGACCAGCAAATGTCAAAAAAGTCCTTGGAGATATTGCACTTTTTAACGGATAATGTAGATTACTGTGATGATTCTGCCGTGTCTGACTACTGCAGATTTCAATATAAACATTTATCAAAATTCGATACATCTGATGACAACAATGTCATTCTTATTGGCAAATGCTATAGCGTAAAATGCGATAATAAAATGTATAAAGCATATAAAAAATGCATCGTTAGAGGCGTTGTATTTCACAGCCAGAAGTATCGCAAAGCGAAAAGAACGAACGATACAATGATTCAGTTACATTCAGGCGAATATGGTCAAATAATGCACATTATTCTATTAAATAATAAATGCCACATGCAAATATCAAAAATTACGATTAGTTTTAATAAACCGTTTAAAGTGTCGTACATGGATAGAATAGAATCAGAAGATTATGTACATAGCTCAATAGTTCCCATAAGCGATGTCAAAAGCAAGCTTATTCACATAGATGTTGGATATTGTAGATATTTATGCAAACCTCCGAATACATTTGAAATTCAATAATAAATAAAACTTTGTAATAAATACAATTTTGTTTCTTTATTTATATATACACACAGTCAAATATAATTATAACAAAAATTTGATTTAATTGCATTATATCCGATTTCCTTTTCATCTGAAAAATCGGAGAATTTAAAATTCAAACAAATTACTGTTGCTTTATCACAGACTATATAAATTTGATTCTTATTGCATTCAAATCAATTTAGTTTTTATCCCCGAAATTGGTAAATTTTGGATTAAACCGGATTACAAAATCAACTGAATTATTAAAATTGGATATTATTATAACGGATTGAAATTGCATACGCGCAATCGCTGAATTTCGAATTAAAACGGATTAATGTTGTCTTTCCTAGCAAATCGGATTCAGATGGATTACAACCGATTTTATTGAATCGGTGTTTTTGTAATTGAAACGGACTCATCTCTTGAAAAGAAATATACAAAATTAGGCGGATTATTTTGGATTATATATCCATCCGATTATTAGTGTTTATTTTGGATTGACAACAATATGGATTAAAATGTAATGATTTCGGATTGGAAATAATCTGCAAAAGCAATATCAAAACTCATTCTGATTAGTTTAGAATTAAAATCGATTACTTTTTAATCCGGGCGCGGATTGAACCGATTAAAACCGATTAAAACCGATTAAAACGGATTATGTTTTAATCGGTTTTAATCGAACATTTTCGGCAGGGAAGCACACACACACACACACGGGGGGGTGCAAGGGGGGGGCCTTCGGTCTCCCCCTTCCCCCGCACCCACCCCGTCGGTAGGCAACGTGGACCTCGCTTTACAACATAAAGTACATGCTAAGTTGTAAAACGAAATTATAAAATACTTGCATGGGGGAGGGTGCAGGGGAGAAAAGCCTTTCTGTTCACGTGCGCTCACGCATGTAAGTCCCCTTGCACCCCTCCATGCATGTGTTTTATAATTTCGCTTTACAACTTAGCATGTACTTTATGTTGTAAAGCGAGGTCCACGCTGCCTACCGACGGGGTGGGTGCGGGGGAGGGGGGAGCCAAAGTCCCTCCCCTCGCACCCCCCCCCCGTGTGTGTGTGTGTGTGTGTGCTTCCCACGCATAATTACACTAATGAAACTTCCAGCGTGAGACCTAACTGCTTGAATCGAGATGCTTGGTTATTCTGCACGATGTAATTGTTTAATGATTTTCGTTAAAGCAGGGCACACACACACGTGTGTATGCCCTGCTTTATAGAAGTTGTGATTTTCGTTAAAGCAAGGCACACACACACGTGTGTATGCCCTACTTTATAGAAGTTGTAATTTTCGTTAAAGCAAGGCACACACACACGTGTATGCCCTGCTTTATAAAAGTTGTGATTTTCGTTAAAACAGGGCACACACACGTGTGTATGCTGGTGTATGCCCTGCTTTATAGAAGTTGTGATTTTCGTTAAAGCAGGGCATACACACGTGTGTGTGCCCTGCTTTAACGAAAATCATTAAACACTTACATC